GTGTAATATCCGCGTCTATACTTACTACCTATTATGCAAATAAAATTCTGTTATAAAATGGCGAAAAATGATAGTTCGATAACACTTACCGCGAATACTACTCAAGAAAATGAAAGGTTATTAGATGAATCCTGTCGTAAGCATCAAGTAAGTACCGAACCTCGTGGCTTCGATATTCTTGGATACAAACAATATTATTAGCATATCAATGATATTTCAGGTAGAAAACAAAACCAAGGAAGATTTCGAGCAATTGTTTATCAAACTTAATTATATCTGTCAAATGAAATCAACCAAAGAAGAAGCGCAAGCAAATTCTTCTTGGTGCAATACAAATGTAAGATTTATGTTAAAATTACTATTCTAATTTGGATTAGGTCTTGATCTTATTATTCTTTCTTTTTAGGTTATAAATTATACATACGGATCCATCTCAGGATTTCCATCTGGTTCTTGGTGGGGGATCCGCATGGATTGTTCTAGAGATCGTGTTCACGATCCTTTCAATGAAAATATTCAGATCGGCCCTTTTGGAGTTACATCGATCTGTACACCGAGCGTTAATTTGAATGAAGATATTGATTTTGGTAATTCTCTGACCTTTACGGGTCAGAAATATGTTGACGGAGAATCGGACATTGATCCACTTATCAAAAATTATGAAAATCAGATACCAGTGAGATTGATCAGAAGTTATAATCTATTGAACAAATTTGCTCCAAAAACAGGTTATAGATACGATGGTTTATATATTGTAACAAAATTTTGGATAGGTGTAAACTCTGATTCTACAAAATATTATAAATTTTCTCTGTTACGTTTAAATGGCCAAGAACCACCATCATGGAGTATCAAGCAGCCGCTTCTAAGTACAAATAAATCTTTGTCTACTTTACATTGTATGCCTATGCATCCTCGAAATTGTTTAGAAAATTCTCCGAGTCAGTATGAATTTAGAAAATATTCGCATACATCTGAATCTACGATTCCAAAGAGGAAATTTGATAAATCAAACATTTCAACTATTTCAACTGTACAACTTCCGACTCTTGAAAATAAAAAAATAGAAGAGAAAGAAAAGGTTACACCTGAAAGTGGAATAGTAATGCGTCATGTGTTTAAGAAGGGAAATACAGAATGTACGGCCAGCGTATCCAGTATTTCTAATACATCAGAAAACAAATTATTAAACCGTATCGGAATGCAAGGATTCAAAGCTCATAATACTAATATCTCTATACGTACAGGACTGTATGATTCGTCGCATAGTACACAGCACGATGTTAAAAAAAGTACTTTGTCATTGTTTTGTAGAACAGCTAAATCGCTTAATTTACTTAAATCTAATCAACACACGGAAAATTTGAATTCGTCTAACAAAGATAGAAATAGAAGTCTAGATGGAAAAATGCAAACTGTTGCAACGAATGAGATTCCTAAACGCATTGATTATATTTCGCCTAATGCTGTTAAATCAGATTCATTGAAAATTAAGTCAATTAAAGATATAAATATAGAATTTAACAATAGTTCAAGCGATACAAGTATAAATCATTGTTATAAACACAAGTTTAATAACATTAAAGGGCATAATGATGTGCCGAATGATTCTACAGATGTACATAAAAGTAGTTTAAATTCTTTGGAGACACCAATTGATATGTTAGATTCGACAGACCCTATGTATAGAAATGAAACTTCGACACATAAAATGGTACCCAAAGAAGTACAGGAATTAAGATCAATAGATTCCATAGAATCATTAACACCAGATAAAATTCTACATTTAATTAATAAGAAATGTCATCCTTTATCCAAATTACTCATGGGTAATATGATAGGACTAACATCGGAACAATCTATAGGATTGAAAACACACGATTTATTAACAGTTCAGTCAGAGGTTAAAGATGAAACAGTGCCACAAAATAACGATATAGAGGAAACAAAGGAAAAGAAAAAGTTTGAGGCCATTTCGGATGAACTGATTGGGGCAAGATATTATAAATTTAGAAGACGTAGATTAACCAGAAAAATAATGAAAAAATCAGAGGTAAGAAAATGCAATAGGACGCACAATGGAGAATTACGAAAAGGCTCTGTACAGTCTATAGATGTTTTAGAACCAAATTTAATGGACTTTAATGCATGTAATGGTTCTCAGAGAAGTATACCGCAAGATGTTTTGTACACAAATACATGTAACACAGATGTACAGAATAAAGTAGTTAAACGGAACAGTATACAAAAGAAGAAAATACATTGTGTGCAAGAATCAACAAAGAATATGAAAAAGAATGTTGAAAGTAAAATCGAAGCGAGAACGCGTTTACGAACTATGAAAGTAGTTAAATCGTCGATCAAGAAACACATAAATAAGAAACAAAGACGAGAGATTGCAAATTTATTAATAGATGCAAAAATTGGCCCAAAAATACGTGGTCCAAGGAACCGAAGATTGAGATGTATTGGTAGTAAATACGCTAAACAGCCATATGAACGCTTTAGTACTGTTGTATGTGATTTTAACAAATGCCGAATTAATTCGGATATATCTGGACAACGGTCTACTTTTAAAAATAAAAATAAACTCACAAAAGTCAGTAACTATAAAAACATTAGGAATAAGGAAACTAACAACGTTGAAAGATCGGAAACATTGAATTTAAAACGGAATGCAGTACACGAGAATCTCGATGTTTCTAAAAAGATGAATAAGAACGATATTTCAGAAAAAATATTAAATAATAATAATAATAGCATGAATGACAATAACAAGAAATTAAAATCTGTAAAAGCTAATGTTAAAAGTGTACAAACTAATGATGTAACAATTATTGGAAATCGGAAAAGAAAATTGATGGAAACAATTCCCAGGAAAATAAAATTTAATATAACTGAACAAAAACCACATGAAGATTGCGATAAAAATGCCTCGAAGGCTTGTAAAACGGATGCGGTAACTCAATGTACTCTTATTAAAGGACCACTGACGCGAAACTTGAAATCGAACGATTTGGTTCAAAAATATGAGCGCAATGAACACTATACTTTTATCAAAATAGAATACGGTGAATTGAAAGATATGAAATCCGAAGTTTGTGAAGCTACCAAATCAAATACTGAGAGTAAAAGTCAACAAACGTACAAATCCAACGAAAGGTATGAATCGGATAGAACAACTGTATGTAATATACAACATCCTAAAAATTCAAATCTACTGTTAAATAGTAATATTTTGAACAGAAATGAGCAAAGTAAATTTTCGATGGAAAGAGTGTCTGCATTTGTACCTGTTAATGTTTTGGATAGCGCCCTGAAAATTGCTCGGCTCAGATCTATAGGATTCAAACCAATAATAAGTTGTAATAACGGTAACGAGAGTATCAATAATCAAAACAGGGGAGGCTGTTCCGAGGCAGCTAGTAGCAAAGTGATAAAGCAAAATGTTGCTGAGAAATACAATAAGTATACTAATGAGGAAAACGATGTTGTTGTATATATGGATGATGAATTGCAATATCAAGATATCGAAGATGAAGATAACAATTCGTTGTCTAGTGAACGAAAAGCATCGGAATCAGAAGATTGTACATCAAGCAACGAACAATTAAATAGTGTAAGTTTTGAAAGGGAATCGCGTAACGATCTGTTATTAGAACAAGATTTGGAATCACCGTGGCATGGTTGGAAAAAAGTTATAACAAATGAAGATACGTACTGGGTCGGTTGGTAAAAGAAATGCAAAACCGAGTACTTTATAATTTTTTGTTTTACTAAATCGTGACAAAAAGAAATTTATTTAAAAAGTAAATAAATAAATATTTAATAAATATAAATATGAGTATATATACACACATAAATATATATTTATATTTTCCGCTAAAACAAAGGCTGTTGACAAAATATTAAGTTATTTTTTCACTGATAGTTGTAATGTTTCAATGTATTGATATAGTTATAGAAAGCTCTTTTGTAGAATAAATAGATTTGATCTTTTGTTGAATTAATTCATGTTCAAATTCTTCTAACTATACTTTCGATGTTATGTCCTTCGCTAAGTGTTTTACTAATAAGAATTAAAAGTAATTTAAGATAATGATTAATGATTGTACAAAAATAGTGATTTACTTTCAACAAATTAGCTTTATTGTTATGTTATGGAGTAGAATAATATATTCTCTTCATAAATATAATTTATGTATACACAAAACTTTCTATTGTATAGAAAATAAAGTTTAATTAAGATCAAGATTCATTTGCACTGTTTAACACAGTATTTTTTTTAATATCTCCTTCCCGCCGACTCTACTAACAAAGGAAAATATTCAACGGACCCTTTGAAGTAAAATTAAATTATCTTTATTTTAATATAATCAAATATAGCTTTTTAAAAAAATACATTTACGTTTCTTTAAATTTTAATTCAACTCAAATTTTGTTTCTTTCAATTTCAACTATGTATACATTTACTAAAGCAATGCATAAAAATTAGTATCCAAAAATTATCCTAACCGCTTGGGTCGTGTTAATACTGTTTAATGGTATTTAATTTGTTGTATTGCATAGTGCTGAGAATATAATAAAATTTGTTACTTTTAATTATTTTTACCGGAAAAGAGAATGAAAAGAGATGACTAATGAATTAGACATTTCAATTGTTACAAATTCTTAAGGTTTTTAGTTTTCAATTTCGTTTTTGATGTTTTTATTACCAATGATAGACAAATTTTTAATGAGTGTCTTAATTATTAATAAAATATAGGAAACATATTTTATATTGTGTAATATAATAATATACTTCCTATTTTTCTCCTGAGGGTTCGTGGATCCCAAGAAGTTCACAAAACCCAGTTTTAAGTAACACTGATTTAAAAAGGGTTTAACAGAACGCTGAATACAGAATATTATATATCAAATGTTTATATATACATGTGTGTAGAATCGTTAACGTAAAAATACCAAGTACCAAATACTTATATGCGAATAAAACAAATACATCGAAGGAAAGTTTTTTAATTTTTTGCATTATTAAATACATTCTATTTTAACGATATATACACTTATTAGTTCTTTAATCTAGGACGCAAAGATTTTTGTGGCTCAGTTATATATATATTTCCCGGACACGTGCAAGAATTAGAATTACCTTTTCTCGGTGTATTTCATAAAGTAAGCGATTTCCATTGGCAAAATTACATTAACTTTGTTCGAATTAGAAACGTCGGTGTAAAAACGTATACGCAAAATGTTAGTTCAAAGTGTAAAAATATCAATCAGCTACAAGTAAATAATACGGCAACGTATTTGTGAGTATTCAGATATTAAGTACTGTACAATGCCTCCCTTTAAGAAACTTATATCGTCCCGTAAAAACTAAAACGATAATTACATTATTGTAGTAGAACCACCTCTATAGGTAACACTGCCTTAAACATGTTCAGCATATTAAAATAAATATCTTCTATGCTATGTTTACATGATGTAACATAATACATGTATTAACATGGATGTAACATTATGGAACTATTACAGTTACGTGACGTATTATTTTACATCACATCGTTTCTTTTGTCTATCTGCCGTTTGTTTTGTGAGCGAGTCAAGTTCCTACCTAATGATGTACAATCAATTTAACGGTATATGTAGCGTTTCCTTGAGACCAGATATTTATAATTTCACGGAAGTTCAACGTTAAAGTAGTGTTCTTTTTCATTTCTTTTCTTTTTGCACGTGTAACCCCATTGCTTGCGTTTATTGGAACTCATCGTCACTGCTCAACAGCATTGTTTTCTCGTTATAATTTTGAGAAATTGTCGCAACACGTTGATGAGAAGTGTGTCGTCTTTGCGGCGGCGGTACCGGCATATTCTGTGGATCGTCTGGATCAAAGCTGGATATCCGCATACCACGTTGTCCCTTTGGAGCTCCTGATTGTTACATTACATCACGTGTTATCGCTGGCAAAGCCGTGACTAAATGGATACATCGATCAGTCGGTGGACAGCGAAAAATCATGCGTGAATTTTCCTCTTTCGTTCAAAGCATTATTAATTGCATCGATTATATCAGCCTATGTACAATGCTATATATGTGAGCTGACAAAATTTTGTTCTCTTTTTACACATAGCGTTAATACATACAGCTCCTTCTTATTTTTACGATATCGATACAGAAGATATATATGCACAAAACAATCATACTAATTTAACATGCATGTTATACAGAAATAATTCAAATTTGCTAGTTCTTGCAAGGGTTACTGAAAAATGCATAGATAACATACATAAGTAGATTAACGGAATCTCCCTTTTGCATAAATTCAGAAAGAAACATTGCAATGGATGGGAAGTTGTTTACTACTAGTGATGCAAATGATAGTGAAGCTCATACATTCTTCAGATTTGGACAAATTTTATTCCGAACAAAAATAAGATATAATTATTTGAATTATTTTAATGTGTCCAAGTCTGATATTTTTTAATGTATGTTTCTAATACATTTAATTTTCTAATTTGTCTAATATATGAATATCGATTTAAATGATGAATGAGAAATGTTATACCAGTGAGAAAATATTTATTAGTGATAGTATGAATAATGAAGAACGTAATCTGTTCTTGAGTATATGTTTAGAATTAATGGATGAAAAGAATCTCGTTAAAATGAAATGAACGCACACAAACTTCAAATAACCTAATCATTCAAATTCTTTTCTATCTACTTCAGAAATTGATAGCATAGAATTAACATTCCAAAAATCGATAGTGCAAAATTAAATTAATTTTTTGTGTATTTCGATTTAGTATAATTGTACATAAAATAATTGAATTATATAATTAATTAAACCGAACTATACACGAGACATAAATAAAACTCCAAATCCAAAGAAAACAAGAAACTGAAGACATCTTTCATTCTCCAAGAATATACACGAAAATTGCAGCAATGAGAAACTACAATATGATAGAAGCTTCCTCTAATATTTATTCAAATTCTTAAATAATTAAGAAATTATTTTTATAAACATTATAAATAAAACTAATAGTGATATAAGACAAAGTTCATACATAAAAAAAAAAAGAATATCATGTGTATCCAGCATACCGATAACTCCAATACAACTTATTTTATTTATTTTATATGTGAAATGAAGAACAATAAAGAAGTCTCATAAATACATAAAAGCATTATAAGATAATACTACGCCCTTTAATCATTTCTGACCTATCGATAAAATAATATATAATTACAATACTGCCACAGAATAATAGTCAATCGTTATTTGTCTTTTGCAGTTATTAGAAAAGCAACACCTTTTAGGAAATTACACTGTACTCTAAGTGCTCTTGTGTTAAGTGCTTAATTTCTATTGTACAGAAAATTTTATTAATTGCAAAATGAATAAATCGTATTATATACATATACATACACACATATATATATATATATGATATGTATATGTATGCAAGTAAGTAAATATATACATATACTGATTTTAGTATAAACCTTAAATTATAATTTGAGCAGAGAACTCTTTGCCCACCCTGCAACTTCATTCGAACTTAAAACATCAAGTAAATTTGTAGCATTAGTTTTAATAAACTATAGTGTAGCATTTAGAATTTTTTTCAATCTCCGTTTAAAATTGTACAAATGCCTCATGTCCAATTTCTTGAAATTAAAAAAGTGATGCCTCGCGCTCTCATAGTTTTTCATACGGCAAGTTGGTATTAACGTCTGAAAAACAGTAAACAGAAAGTGCCTTCAAAGAACTTAATGTTAATTTGGCACGTATAAATTGAATTTACGGTAGAAATTCATTGTTTTCTGTCCTTCGAAGAACAACTCCATTATAATTTATTTGCAGAAGATAGAAAATGTAAATGAATATACACGATATTTTGTAATATGTGGTACAATGAGAAGGGTAATAATTCTACATGAAATAGTAAGTAGAAAATACAGAAGAGAGAAGAAAAGATTTTCATTTACGGCTTTGTTTGTGAAAAAATTCAGTCTGGTAAACGTGTCATATAAATAAAATAATCAAAACTAAAAATTCATGTTGCAGATAAAGGTAAGTTAGTAAGACTAATATGAAACAACAGCGATATTGTCGATATTTACAAACAGCCTTAGAAGACAAGACTTCAAAAATTGATTTTTTTCGAAATCAAAGTCTTAGCCATTTTTTCGAAAACAGAACCTTATAAAAACATAAGGTTCTATACTTTCTATTTATTTTTTCACAAAGAATCCCTATCCTTCTGGTGGTACCATGTAGAAAACATCCTGAGTATTATTTCGCGTTTTTAGTGGTTGGCAGTAAAGAGTATTGAAAAATATAAGATCAATATATTCATTTACTTTGTTTAAATTCGGATGAAACATTTTTAACAGTTTCTCAACGTTGAATTAAAAGATTTGTCTACCTTTCTTTTGCATTTGCATTTACGGAGTATAATAAAATTTAAACAAAAATATATAAATGAACAATGAAATACAGATGATTTTAGATTTTATCATTCACTACATCATGCTATATGAAAATATATCGATTGGATCAATTAAGTAATAAAAAGACTTCAAAGGCAATATGTGTCAAAACAGACATTTTGAACAAAATTAAGTGTACATACCAGAACTATATTGAGTATATTGTTGATATTGTGGATGAAAATTGTGGATGGCATCAGTCATTATATCTTTTGGATTCATGGTTTCCTACACGTAACGATATTAAAACAGTTACAATTTCACTGGTTCGATTTTTAAAATAATGTTAAACTGTAACATATATACCTTTAAACTACTACTGATGCTTTGCATCGTTACGCTCCTTCCTCTTGAATCCGTAACGCAACCAGCCGAATATACTTGGTAGGGAAACGCGTAACGTAGAGCTATAGCAGCAAATAACATTTCGATGCAGATCAAAAAATTTTGATAACCAGCAGAAACTGTGCCTGCGCTGGTCGACTGGCCTAAGCTTATAGGTGAAATTACATTTGCTTTTTCAAGAATGGCCAGTAAAACTCCTAAAATGAAAGAGAATTAATTTACATTCAATAATAATTCAATGTTCCTCAAACTTCACTTATCTATGGACCCCATTGACAAAAAAATTTAACTTTAAAGTGAATTAAATTACTCTTTATTTAAAATATTTTTTATTGTTTTTAAAAATAGTGTATGTATATTTTAAATATTTTATAAAGCATCTGCTTTGCTTCTTTCCTCTTTCTATCCTTGTTCGACCGACTAACAGGCTGCGAATCTTCCGACTACCACCTCTAATTTAAGGTTTTATATTACAATAAATGTCCACGTGTTTCACTTGACAACGTGAAAAAAATGACTGTAGGGAAAAAATAAATAATGACTATTTTTGTCCTATAAACTATCTTAATTCCATTCGTAACATTTTTCGTATCTTCAAACTTAACAGAGATACTCTGATATTCTATTTTCCATGATTCAGGCTGTATACATTGTTTACTAGAGGACTGACGATAAGTGCTTATTACTGGCGTCTTAGATAAAATCCAATAAAAAACGCTAATTGGTATTACTTTTAACAGAAGCAGAATGAAAAGTGATAAATAATTAATAAGAGATTACAGTTGTTAGGAACTTTTAAACTTTGCAGTTTTCTATTTTGTTTACATTTTTACTGCAGATGAAAAGAAAACTTTGTAACATATGATTTTAAAAAGTATAAAATACTATGAGAAATCCTTTTTTTTATTAATCTATGGAATACGTTCTTTTGTTTCGTTTAAGGATTCATAGACCTTTCTCAAAACATTTGTAAATCCTCAGGGGTCCACAGACTTCGGTTTGAGAAACACTATACTAAATTCTGTAATAATCAATGTTACCTTGCCAAAATGAGAGAAAGATGACACTTTTAACAGTACAAAACTTTAAGACAGGTTCGAATGGTGTTAGCAGGTCTCTTGTAGCAAAGTAAAAGAGGAAAAGTCCGTAAAGGGCAAGAGATACGCTGATATTATAAATTATAGTTATGTAAATATAGCCCCCATCAGGGGACCAATCTCCATCTCTGTAATGTCCAAATGCTTGAAGGAATATAATGACAAATGCCATCACTGGCTTTACTAAGCAGAATTGCAAGGTAGCTTGCTTGCAAAATCTAAGAAAACCGATAGTATACGTTTTCCCAACTAGGCAGCATGTTCCATATAGGCAATTGGAACGAATAGGTTTACCACGTATTTCAGACATAATATTTCCTTCGCCACCCAGGTACTCGTAGCATAGGGACAAAAAGTTGTATATAACAAATGCTTCGTAACAGTCTCGTACAGTGAAGAAATAAACATAATAACTTTCACTGTTAAAAAATAATAGAGAGACCCAAGAGTATGTCGCATAAATTGGGACTATGAAGAGAATCCGCACTATCCATCTTTGTTCTGTTGGATTGGTATACCACCTTAGATGTTGATAAATCTACAAGTAGAAACCAAAACAATACTTTCTACTTTTCGTATTGGACCTAATATACTAGAAGTTGTAAAATACCTGCTGACAAGTTAAGAACAGCGCTGCCCATACAAATACCCCAGCGATACCTTGAGCAGCTCTTGTTTGCAAGAATATTGGCACTGGTTCCTTCGAGGTAACCTCACCGACGGTAGTCGTGGATGTCATACCGTCAAGCATAGAGCTTATGATCGTGGATGATTGCATTGCCACTGTACTACTTATACTTTAATCTGAGAAAAATCAGTGTTGGAAATAACGACAATAGCTGAACGTAGTTAGAAGAAAATAACGAGAACGTCAATAGCGTCCATTTTAGTAACAGTCACAAAAGGAGGAAAGTTAATAAACATTGAATTTCGTGACACGGAATAAATGTCGAGATTACGAAGTCGCGCGTTAAAAATCAATATATGCACAACAATAACAACGGTACTCCCATTCATGCGCAAAATTTCGTATCGAAGACGCACCCGTGCTCCATTCGCAGATTTTTTCCAAACAATTTCGCAGCATACGCGCGTTCCTTCGCAGACGTATCTTGTGGGTACGTGTGGTATGTTCTCCTTTTCCCTTCGTATCCGTACCCGTACGTGCTCACCTGCGAGATCGAGCTTCCCAGAGGTTCCCCACTTTCCAATAACCAGAACCCGACGCAACCGTTTACAGACAGTCGTGACCTTCCAACAGATAATACCAATAGTCCATCGAAAACTACATACGATCACTTTCTTTCACTACATACGATCGGTTCAGCTTAGATCACCGAGTTTCACTTTTACCCGACATTTTCAGGCATCTCGTCTCTATTCCCTGCTCGGTGTCAAACATTCGTTGCGGTCAGCCTCGCGAAATATGCCAGTCGACAATAAAAATATATAACTGGTCTCACCGCTATGGCTACATTCCTCTTCCTCGCACCCGTTAATCTTCTCTACGGTTCTCTTTGTTTTACTCTCACGGACGATCTCTTTTTCCCTTCTCCTTCGAGCCAAATCCCCACCATGATCATCTTTAATTAACATTGTCACGCATGCGCTTACCTATGGGGCTACGTCGCTATATTCGCGATAAATCGTTCGTCGGAGGAATGTTGGAGGGAACCTTGTCCGCCCGGTGACTCGGATTTGCGCCGCGAGAGGGGAAAATTTCCAACTTCAATTGTTCTCTCTCCCTTGCCAGGGCCGGCTCTAGCGGAAGATTTAAAGGGGCGGCCGAAAGGCCTAAGAGGGGAGTCTGGTCCAGCTAATGTATTTTTCTAATGCATATAATTTCCAGATATAATTAATTTTTGTTATTGAAACATTTTTTACGTATAAAGGGACATTCAGAGAAGAAAATTTGATAGTGTAGATTTAATTTGAATACACATATAATAGATATAGCAGTCGCAAGGACAGGATTCGGTCAAAACGGTGGGATACGTGGAGCCTTGGGAAAACATCTGATAGATAAAATCAGAAAATTTTGTTCTTTAGTAGGTACGTAAAGTGCGTATGAACCTCAATTTGCAAACAAAAATTGTTAATTGCGAAAATGGCGGCAAAAAGACATGAAAATGAACAATACATGTCGGCCGTTATTTTGCAATAACTTTATGCTATAATAATAATTCATTAAGAGTCGAGGTTCATTAGTATATAAACATAATTATCTTCGATGTAAGCGTTGAATCAAGTGAATCGGATAAAAATTCGATGAGCTATGCGTCCCACCGATTTGACCGAATCCTTTCCTTGCAACTACTATATCTATACAGGGTGTCCCAAAAATGTTGTAACACCTTGAAATGGGTGGTTCGGGAGGTGATTTGAAATAACTTTTTCCTTAGCGAAAATGTTGTTCGAGGCTTCGTTAAGGACATATTAACAGAAAACCTCGACCAATCAGCGGGCACTCCATTGGCATACTCGCGCTCTGATTGGTTGGGGAGCGCGGCCGCTCCAACGGTATACGCGCGCCCTGATTGGTTAATGTTTTCCGTTAATATCTCCTCAACTAAGCCTCGGGCAATATTTTCGCTAAGGAAAAAGTTGTTTCAAATCACCTCCCGAACCACCCCTTTCAAGGTGTTACAACATTTTTGTACACAAAATACATGAGCTGAACCAGACTCCCCCCTTAATGAAATGATGTATGAATTTAGATGTGAAATTCCAATCAAATAAAAATAATGTGTTAAAAAGGGATTTTGATGGTATTCAATTATATCACGAGATAATGTCGTATCGGAAAATTTTACTATTGCGTTGAGAATTTTTTTTGAACCCTGTCAGTTTCCGTAGCATCTGGCGAAAAAAGATTCTCGTAACTCAAAATAATTAAAAGTTATATCCGATCTACGATGCCCAGGAAAAACTAAGTAGTCTTGCACTTTTTTCTATTGAACATGAAATATCAGAAATATTGACTTATCAAAAATAAAAGTCAGAAGAGAATAATTTGAGAACGTTGGTACAGTAGTTTTATTATTTAATTTTAGAATGTTTTAAAAGATGTAAGTATCGCTAAAAATTATTTTTTTTTGTCATTTTCTTTATAAATAATTATTAAAATAAAATGAACAATACATATTTTACAAATAAGATTGTTCATTTATCCTATTTTATATAGTACCAATATTTTTGAATTTCCTCAAATTTTGATGTAATAAAGAGGTGGCGAGAAATGGATTTGCACAGTGGCGGCCAAGCACTCAGTAGTATATATATTTTACTTTATTAATTGTTAATTTTAACTCTTATTATTTTAAGTAATCCTTATCATAACGTATTTTGGAAATTGTAATTTTGAAATATTACATTTAAATTATAATATTATTTCCTTATAACTTGTTTTAGTTCAAAAAATGGTAAAAACAATACACAGATGTCAAGAGTAAAGTTATTTATTTATAATTATTGGTTAAAAAATAAAACACTTTCGAATTATCTAGAAATATTATCTTGTGACATCACATGAGTTATTTTGTTTTAAAGTATGTTAATATTGTACTGTTCATTTTGTTATTTTTCAACGTTCATTCATTAAATGTATTTCAACGAAACAACATGTATTATTTTTATCTACTGAATTTCTCAAGAAAACTCGTAAATTAAAATATTCCCAACTGCCCGTGCAACACCACAATACAACGATTAAATATTTCATTGTTTTGTTTAGTTATTCAAAGTGTTGAAATTCTATAAATTTATTTTCAAACATGTAACCATATTTTCGATTATAATCCTATTTAAACTTCCCGCTGTAAATTGGCAATGTACGATGGCCGATGGGCCTCCTCCATCCTTTAAGGGTGCGCAGAAGACCCAGCAAAACTCCGAGTTGACTTCAGCGACAGTTGCGCGGAGAAAGTAGGAAGCTCTGGGACAAGGATAGATAGATCCTTGTCTCTCTAATGATGCCGTGACAGAGAGGGAGATACATCCATCGGAGGAGAGACAAAGACAGAATGATGTCAAACGTTTGCAATTTTCCAAACAGTTATTGTAATTTTATGAGGCGAGGAAGCGACCTTTCCGGCTGATTTTTTTTTTAAACTGTTCCTTATAAAATACCGTTGCGGGGGTCAGTTACACATTTTGCAATTTCGCTTTTGAAACTTGCTAAAAATACGTTCAAAGACAAGACATTTTTTTTTTTCAATTTTTTCCAAAAAACGCTTGACGAGACGATAGATTTACTTCCCCTGATTACGAAATGCATAATTACGATATGTTTTTTTCATTAATGTGCCTGAAAAACGGGAAAAACTATCTAGTAGTTCACCTACTTTCCGTTGGTGGCGCTAGTTTGTCTCCTGCGCACCCTTAAGCACGTAGACACTATATTGCTCTATATACTCAAAGGCTGGACCAAGCACCCGAGCATGTTGTGTGATTTTATGAAATCTTATTCTTTTTTATTAACTTGTATGCGCAATTCGTGCAATAAAAATCGTCTTGATTAATGAAAAATGAATTTTCTACAATTGAATTCGAATGTTCCTTGTGGACGAAACATCTGAAAGTACATAACACTGGAGAATATAATCGTTACCTTTGTTTTTGACGTTACGTCGGATATCGAAAGATTTTCAAGAATGCGTCATGAATTGATTAAAATAGGTTATCATGCTAAACGTAATATTTATGGTTTGCATATAGAGAGTTAACACGAGTGATTTGTCCAACATCGTGTACCAATATGTCAATAGACTGTTAATGATCTCTTATGTGTCAAATTTGAATACAGTCTTACGAAAATGGCACTCGTTTATATTGAAGACAGCGATCCTTGGTAAAAGTTTCAATTTACACAGTACTTAATATTTATTTTGAAGTTTTAGACATTCAGTTTGATAATATGTTTTCAAATTGAATAGGTTATCCGAGTATGATGCCTGCGAGAAACTTTTCAGAGAAATTATGGAACAACTTACTGCGCGTAACAGACACTCGAAGACATCACAGGCATACGCGAGTTTATCTGTAAATATACGAATTCGTCTGAAACAATACAACAGGGAAGTTCAACAACTTAAAAGTAAAGTGGATGAGGCATTACGATCCAAAGCTATGTATCCTTTTATGTGTCTATGTAACACAGGAGAAAAATCCACTGTTCCTTTAAGGAAATATTTTCTTTAAAATATAAAGGTGTACAGAACTATCGAGGAAGCAGAACGAAGGACACGGCAAATAGAAATATTACAGAGTAAAGATGTACAATTGCAAAAATTATACGATGCTCGAACAAGTGATTTTGCAACTTCTCGTTCCAATTTACTTTCAACTAAAGCATCAGCTTTTGCAGATGGAGGTACGACTTCTTGGGCAGCTGATGATGATGATGAAAAGCCTATAGATGTTCAAGTATCTGTTGCTAATCTTGCAACTCAACATGAACAAATTTTACAAGGTACATTCAGATGTTAATAATATTTTTCATTTACTTATGTTGTATAATTCAATTTTATTTCTTTTAGAACAAGATAGAGGATTGGAAGAATTACATAAAGTGATTGTACGACAGAAAGAAATTGGTCAAACTATCAGTAATGAAGTAGAGTATCAAAATGGTAAATCAAAATCAATTCTACTAATTCTTTCTAATTAAGAAGTTCAAAAAGACATCAAACTTATTTTAATATCTTTGTTTCTATTCAGAAATAATTGATAATTTAGCCGACCATATGGACAGAACCGACGATTCAATAGTTAATAAGACACGCCGAATAGAACGTATGAGTTTCAAAGATCGTACATGTGGCTATTGGATAGTAATCATTTTTCTTTTTATCTGCATTGTTACAGTCGCTTTAGTATAATTAATAGAAACATGTATTTAAAAATTAAACGAATTCCATTGTACGTAAGTTTCAATATAAATATATTTAAATTGTTAACTTTTTTTTAAAATTTAAACTAATATTTTATAAATATGTGAAAAACTCTTGTATATTTGTAAAAATTCTTTATTTGTTTGACTGTTTATTAGTTGAAAGTCAATATTTCTATGTATTATAATATAAATAATTATAATTGTAAAGAATGATACTACACAATATTAATTAACATATAAAATAGTTTACCACTAAAATTGTACAGAAGTGTGTAAACTATTCTGTTTAAAATATTGAATAAAACTTTTCTTAAGTTCTTTGAATAACGAATACTATAATATAAAATCGTGCATCATAGTACAATAAAATAAACTTCTACAACTATTTTTACAATATTCATCTTTATATAGATAAGAAAAAAAATTAATTCTGTACATTATCATATTATTGGATTATTTTTAATTTTTACTCTAATTTTTTATCACCTACTTCTGATATATTGGACTGATCCAATCCAAGATTTATTAACAATACTTTTGGATTTGGATCTCTTCCTCTGAATTTTCTGAACATTTCATTTGTAGAGTAACTACCTCCTAAAGCCAAAAACGTTTCGCGATATCTACTGCCAAGATTCTGTAATACTTCCTTGTCTTTGCAAGATTTTTCTTGAAAAGCATTATACAAGTCAGCAGCAATCATTTGCGACCAAACATTACTGAAAATAAAATATTTGATTACTAATGATTTTTCAACTTTTCAAGTTGTACACATTTTCTAAAGCTTACCTATAATAAGCAGCTACCCATTCTCCACTAAAAATACAATCGAATGAACAGATATGGCAATCTTTTTTATGCTGCGGAATTACATGATATTTATTCCACAAACGATTCATTATGTCATTCCAGAATTCACCACTAAAAATTGTAGAACAGATTATTGGATATATTACTGAATTATAGAAGAAATTATTGAAAGTATTAGCAGTACTTAATCTTACCTAGAATACAATTCTAAATCGAATCGTGATAAATATAGTTCTTTGCATAGTTTATAGCCGGCTAAATACAATTTTATGTTCCTCAATGTTTCAATCGTTTCCGTGGATAACGGTTCTCCAGTATCTTGATGGCAGGAAATTTTGTGCAAAACAGATGGTTCGTACAACCTAAAAATTAATTAAAGTTACATACGTAAAAAGACATTAATGAAAAATAAGGAATTTTTTAAATATACCAATTTTCAAAGAAATAATCAGAAATAAACGATGCATCCCATTCCACAAATGAAAGTCCGGATATTTCAGCATACTCCACTGTTGATAACGTATGTTGTAACATATGTCCAAACTAAATGGCAAAAATTAATATAGAAAGAAATACATATCAAAGTATGTTATTGGAATACAGTATTATTCAACTAATTTCAAATAGATATTGATCCAGGTAAAACTTACCTTTTGAAAGAGAGTCCTGACATCATTAAATGTAAGTAATGATGGTCTTTCACCAAATGGTGGCAAAAAGTTGAATATTAATGCTACTAATGGTTTTGTGTCACTCACTTTACTTCTATATTTTATTGGAACCATGGATCCTACATCATGTGCCACTCGAATTTTTTCACCACCTCTTGCGTAAGGATCTAAATAAAAGCTACCTACTGGATCGGTACATGATTTCTTCAAATCAAAGATATCGAAAAATCGAACATCTTTGTGCCATACATCTGGTTTCGTACTTTCAACGAACTTTACATTGAATAAAGTTTCAGTAAACTCGAACATACCGGATAATACTTTTGGCAATGAAAAATAATTTCTTAAATCTTCTTCCCTATACCTAATTGATGTTAAAATAAAATGGTATTAAGTGTAATCATTTTTTTTTATACTGAAGGTAAAGTTGACTTCTCAATTACTTGTATTTACTGTATAGCTGTTTTGCACTCCAGTATGATATATCCCAATGTTGAAGTATACCGTCATGACCTCTTTCATTTGCAAATTCATTGAGTTCTTTTAGCTCACGTTCTTGAGCAGGACGAGCTTTTATAAAAAGCAAAAGAAAGATATTATATATTTATTACTTATTGATCAATAACTGAAAATTTTACCTGTTTGCAATAATATGTCCAGGGTGTTATAAACATTTTCTAAACTTCCAGCCATTTTAGTTTCCATACTTAAATCTGTATACTTGTTGAATCCCAAAAGTTTTGCCTGTTTCTTTCGTTCATGGCGAATCTCTTCTAATAATGTACTTGTCTGCAAGAATCTATCTTGTAACATAGATCCTTTGGTAACAGCTATTTCCCAAACTTTATACCTCAGAGAACGGACAGGACAATGCTCTAATTAAACAAATAAAGTAAACATTCAGTCCATAATGACTGGTAAGAAAGGATTAGCAGCGTTAGGTGCAAACGAATCATACGATACATTACAATTAATATTTCAATCTTGACAAAGGCCCACTTTAGGATTTCAATTCATTAAGTATAATTTATAATCTTAATAGTTGCAAAAAAACAGTCATTCATGTACTACAATTGTGCTCTTCTCCTTGTCTTGTAAATGGCTTTAACAAGGTCAAAACTTTAATTGTATATTTAATGTACGATTCAAACAATACTTTTAGAACTGTGTCAAATTAATGTTTAATTTTTGAAATATGTCATTGAATTTCATACCCATAAATGGTTTCATGATAAGAGGATCTGTAGTTACTGTCCAAGGGCCAGTTTGCCATTGTTTATCATCTTTTACCATAGTTTTTAATACCTCCTCTGGAAAATCTTTCACCACCGTAGGATCTTTTATTGTACAGGTAATTTGATTTGTAGCTACCTATAAGAGAGGGTATCAGAATTCAAAATGCTTAGTTATTCAAAATGCTTAATTTACAAACCTCTAGTTTCTGAGAGTATTCTTTAAGCTTATCTATTAACATATGTGATAATTCTGAAAGTTTTTCCTTCTCTTTGTCAGACAAATCTAATCCATTTAATTTTCCTTCTAATATAAATTTCATTAAAACTCTCCTTTCTTCGATGGTTAATTTAATTTTGTCATTATTGATAATGTTCTTAGATGCTAGATAAATTGGTAAACTGATGTATCTGCTGGCTGAAGCCCTTTTAGCACGATCATGAATACTTATATAATATTGTGTGGGCATTAAACTCTGGTTTCCAAGGTATAATGTTTTTGCAATGCCCCATGTGGTATTCAAAGAGTTATACATTTCCTCCAAAGGGTTTAATACATCTTCAAATAGATTTTTTGGAGAAGGATTTGAAGGGTCTGAAAGAATGTTTTGTTAACTATAAATGACATTAGAAGATATAAGTTAAATAATAACAACAGATATATTCAAGTAAAATTACTTTGAATTTTTGTCTCCAAGGTCTTAATTTCTTCTTCAAATTCTATTGTTTGTTTTCCAATAGCAGCTACACATTTTTCTATTGTAATAGTATTAAATTCTGGTGTTTTATCCTCTTTCAGTAAAGGATCTTTATCTGGTAAAGCATCACCAATTTCTGGAACCCTGCATTTAAATGTTATTAAACAATTGAAAAATTTGTTCTATGAACGATATTATTGAGAAAAGCTCTATATTTACGTAGAATTAACGAAATAGATATAATATAAAACAGTAAACGAAAATTTATGAAGAAAGAATGGAATAACCCCTATTTTGAACGATGTAGCTATAATACGTACAGTAGGAAGTAACCATTGCGTTTTGGAATTTTTAAAAAATTATTGTGCAACAAGATGATTCTTTTCCCGCAGATCGAAACCATTTTATAATTTTTTAAAAACATCATCTTTCTATGGTTCTTCAAATTGCATTTTCAATAGACCAAAAACCGGTCTCTCGTGACTCGATTATGTTCAATTACGTCGCTAGTGGTTTTTAGTGAACTGATCTAGCTTTTACCAAAGAGTATTAGATAGAGTGGAAGGTCCCATAAGAGCGCTATATAAAAAATCGTATACGAGTTTCAGTGCCCTCTGCTGAGTGGGAACCGTATTAAGCACCCCCTCCTTTTCCCTCACTCCGCAAGTTGCTCCATAGTTTTATAATCCCAGAAATCTCAGATCACAAATTTGAATTCTGTGAAATTACATCACAATAAAGACGCATAACAAATCTTTCATACTACAATTTATATTTTGTAATAACGTGATAAGTTAAAACATAGTGTATAAAGTGTATCATGAAAAAGTGTTGCGCGTCTTTATTGCGACAAGATTTTTGTAAAAAAGATTGAAGTTATATGATATAATGAAGTATATATAATTATGAAACATATGTTACAATTAAGTAATATAAGTTTATACTTACACTTAGTTATATAGTATAGTTATATTAGTTTATATTTACACTTAGTTATATAGTATAGTTATATTAGTTTATACTTACACTTAGTTATACAGTATAGTTATATTAGTTTATACTTAGGAATTATTTATACATAATAGTAAAAGTTAAGAGAGAGGTAGGATATAATAAATTATTGTACGGTATAAACATACAATATATTCTTTAAAATATGTATTCGCGATTATACAATTAAGAATTTTAAATTAATTAAAAATTAAAATTATTTAAATATTAAATTTTTCCAGTGGCGTCGCATTTTTAAAAAAGTTATTACAAATAATTGTGTGTGTGATTGGTCACAGAGTACTATAGGAAACGCTTGTTGTATTATGTTTGCGAGGACGCGGGTTATGTTTTTTACATGTAGCATACTATCTATACATGATTTAAACATTTGCTCCCACGACCGAATACTTTTAAAAACACACTTAATTTTGGAAATATTAAAATAATTTATATTCTTCGAATGAAGAGTCCTCTGAATCTATTAATTTACTTTTACAAGATTCGCAATTTACAGTATTTACAAACTTTTTACACAGGAATCCCGTTATATAATAAAATGCGTTCTTGTCTCCAAATGATTCAACATCTTCAATACAATGTTCATCATTTGAAATGGTTTCTGGTATAATTTTAAGCAAAAAGACTGAAAATCGTCGTTACAATTAGTTATTGACGAAATTTTGGTTAACTGAGTAATTAATATGTGTTTTAAACCATTTTCGAATTGTTGTGGAGAAGGATTGGTTGAACAACCATGTTGTTGCCTTATGGTGGCAAAAAGATTTTCTAAACTGTCTTGGTTTAAACGTCGTGTTTTTGAATACTGTATATTGTATTGGGTTCGTAGTTCGTTCGAAAGTTATACAATGCTATTTATGGTTAAAATCCAACCTTTTATGCATGGGGGAACTTTCGTATTTAAAAATCGAATGGTTTCTAATTTTTTTACTATGTCTTCCAGAAATATGTTATGTTCACTATTATTTGATATTGCGAAGTTCATTTTATTTCTTGCCATTTTCTCTTGCAATAAACTATTGTAGGAATCGAATAATCTATCCATATCAAGAATAAATTCCTCCGTACCACTATTTTCCGACGGAAATTCGTTTGGAAAAATTGCTTTATAACATAGCAGTGCTGTATACGCTGCTTCGCTAAATATTTGTGCCGCTAAGGAAACCTTCATTTTTCTAAAATTAGTTAACTCAAAATGGCGTTTATTTAATTTGGGCACAAAATTTAGAGGCCTTTTTGAGCTTAACGCATACATTTTTGAGACATCCCCCAACTTGCTATTTTTCTATTATATTTGATGTCACTTTTATTAAAATTGTTTCTTACCGATTTTAATAAATGGGGAGGGTCAAATATGACAAACATTTTTTCCGATTTGTAATAAAAATATGGCTTTTGGGGGGTTATATTTAAAGTTTTAAGTAACCCAACATTCCGGAGCCCTTGGTCGAAGACAATTACCTTCGGTATTAAACCCATTTCCCACACTTTTGCGACTGTTTTCTAAATTATATTCTGGGTTTTATCAGAATTTCCTGCACTGGACAGGAACCAATACCCTAATGTCTGTTTTACAATTTTATTGATCCATCTGATCATGCACGTGAACGCAGATGTCGTGCATTTCGGCTGCCTTGTATCTCCGTCATCAGCCACACCACGAAATTGATCCATATGTGGATCATAGTATACTTCATTATGTAAATGGATTTCGTCGTAAATCAGCGAGACTACTTTGTCTTCGACAGCAGAAGTAAAAAATTTGGCTTGTAACATGTTTAATTCTTGCGTATTTATACCGGGGTAAATATGAAATTTTTGTTGATACGAACGTAAAGTCTGCTTTAGGAGAATGATAGTATATGGATAGAGTAAAATCTTTTAACCTATCATCGTACCTTCGTCCGTATTTACTAATGTTCCTTAGCTTTATCTGTGATAATATTAACGTCTCTGCATCAGTGGAAAGAGCCCGTGATGGTTTTTTTAGCAATTGTACTTGGTACTTATGTTTTCTTTCCTTCTCCTTTAGTTGCTTCTGCCTTAATCTGTTGTATTTGCAAAAGTCTCGTGGTTTTTGGCGAAAAACATTGAGACGGTGATACACGACCCCTACTTGTGATTGATGTTGATGGAGCACATGTCATACCTGCAATACAAAACTTTCATTTATACTTCACTGTACATGTAGAAATATTTTCATGAAATTTATTTTTCTTATTTTTACAAATTTTAATGCTCTTTGGCTTTTATCACAGATATTTATACTGAACCTAGATCGCTAACGAAGCCTCAGTATTTACATGGTCTCGAACAGAACCTACTTGATGCATAAGCAAGAAAACTCACTGTGTTGCGCTATCACATGAACTTAGCTTTATTACATGTAGCGCAACACGCGGAATAACTTAACACTATGCATGTAGTATGTACAGGGTGTCCCAAAAATGTTGTAACACCTTGAAAGGGGTGAAAGAAAACTTTTTCTTTAGCGAAAATATTGTCTAAGGCTTCGTTGAGGAGATATTAACGGAAAACACTGACCAATCAGAGCGCGAGTATACCGATGGAGCTGCCGCTTTCGTACGTTCCCGCAGCCGCTCCACCGGCATGCGCGGGCTCTGATTGGTCGGGGTTTTTTGTTAATATCTGCTTAACGAAGGCTCAGACAAGATTTCCGCTAAGGAAAAAGTTGTTTCAAATCACCTCACGAATCAGAGATGGGCAAAACTCTAAGCTACGAATAAATTTGAAGTGTGCCTATATGTTTGTCTCGTTTTCTCTTTTGAACATTTTCCAGAGAAAGAACGAGACAAGCATTTCGGCAAACTTCAGATTTATTCGAAGTCTAGAGTTTTGCCCATCTCTGTTACGCGAAGAATACTCAGGAGTGAAAAACACTAGAACTACTTTAATGTTATTTAAAGTGTTATAAAAATTGTAAAATAAATATTAGTAGACATTATTGTGAGTCGACTGAATAAACGCGCTACTTTTTCCTAGTTTCAGCGCTCCACGGGCACCTTACCCACATCGTTGAAATCCGCCAAAATCCCTATTCTCACACATCGCGTCCACACAACTCCCTTATTCTCACAGATCAAATATATTTATATATATTTTTCAGTATCACTTTTTATATATTAAAACAACAGGCGTTAACGATCTAGGTATATATATATATAGATATAGATATCTGTGACGACCAATTTCTGATATTTTATGTATCTAGTGATTTTAGCGTTCTGCTTACGGTAGCGCCATCATAGTTGTCGTCAATGAGTAAAAGTTCATGCTGGGCAAGAGGAAATTGGGAGCACTTACTGCCTGCTTTCGTATGCATGTTTCGGGATAATCGTAATTGGGTGGAAAAATTGCGTGTTAGAAGTGGAAGATCAATTTTTTTGTCTGATCTTGAAGCTATAATTTGCTGCGATACATTTTCCATTTTGAAAGCTATATTCACGGAAATATTTTGCCTGTTCAACAAACACGAGTCGATATTTGCAACAATGTCGGGAAAATTGCAAGAAAATAATATGCAGTGGGACAGCTCGACAGATGAGGATACTACATACGAATGCAGGTACAATATGCGGCTGAGAGATTCACTGAAGAACAACCAACAGTCTATTATATCACAAAATGAGACCATTTCGGAACCAAGAAAGAGAGGCAGAGGGTGTTCTAAGAGACCCTGCTTGAATAAAAATGCTTTGATGGCTCGAGAAAATAGACAGAAGAAAAAAGCATATCTCGAAAAGGTAGAAAGTATGCTATCTTTCTATCAAAAAGAAAATAAGAACTTGACTGATGTTATAAGAAAACAGAGTATCGACATCAAACGGTTAACTGGAGAAGTTGCCTATCTCAGGAATGTCTTAAAAAATAATACTAATATTTCTCTGTTACTTAAAACTATTAATAATGGTCTCCGTAAAATCAACACGTTACAAAAGAATTCATTCCACCCACATCATGTTTCTCAGTGTTCAAACGAGTCTGAAACACAGTGTAAATGTACATGTTACACAGACTCGAAGGAGAAAGTATTACATCCTCAGAATAGTAACATATTTATTAACAATGACAATAATGATATTTTGACCAAGCATAGTATATCTGAAAGTCAAAGCAGCAAATCTTATGTAAACAACAAGAATCAAATTATTTGTAAGAATCACAATATCGATAAGATTTTTCCATTGTCTTTAGATTCTGATCACACTTATGCTATTTCTGAAACTTCTATAGCTGATGTCAAGAATAGTTTGAATGACAAGGAAACAATCAACACTATAACTTCAACTACGGATTTGTTTTCGGGAGATACTTATGTGAATGACGAGAACGAATTTGACTGTCTACTGCCAGTCACCCAAGGAGATTTATCCAACGTAGATGAGAAAAAGGATAATGACCCCATTGGTATTGACTTTGATCAGTTGTCTTCATTCAATATGGATATATTCGAAGACCTTCCTAAATGCGATGAGATGATGGACAGTGTGGAGAGTCTAAATGATACATCAAATCTTTTCACGGAAGAAGAAACATCCCACAGTCCAGATAATACTGGAATCTGTCTTCATGTTAATTCTGATAAAGTATCTCTAGAATTTTGTTCCATTTGTCATTTAAATAGTAAAAACTCAAGATTAAATTGAAGGGGGATTCGATCGTGATTGGTGTAAGCTCATTTGACGATGAGTCACCTGTAGAAGGGGATAACCAGATACTCTGGAACTTTTTCTAGATCAGTGGAGTATTGATAATTAACAACAACAATGTACTATTTTTAGTCTCATTCTACAGATACCGTATACAGTATTTAAAAAAAAAAATGTTCAGTAGTAGATATTCTCCATATTTTCAGGTACATCAAGAAAATATATGATGTCTAGGTGTACCTGTTGGCAAAACATTGTACAACTATTTTCTTCATGAAGTGAAAGTTACGTTATATTAGTATTCAAACTTTATGTAACTATATGTAATATGTATGCATATGTGTATATGTATATATATATTTTTTTTTCTAAAAGACAGGTTTTTATGCGGGTAAAATTTTTAAAAATTGTAGTTATTAGCAAGTAATGGTATATGAAATATTCTGATCACAGGTGACATCATTTATAATATTCAGTAATAGTATTTAATGAGATAAGAATTTTTGTATGCATATCTTTTATGTTGCTATAAGTAAAATGTACAAAAATATTGGTTTTCTAGATGTAATATAAATTTATGTTTTTTCTTTTCCTCTGAGGCTGTAATTCTTTGCTTTTTACAGGATAACACTGTGTTGGCACTGAAGTCTTCTAGCAAGGATTACACACAAAGGTGAGGAGTATAACTTTGTTAATGAAATATTTCAGATATATTTAACAAATAATTGGATTAAAAATTGGATTGGTTTTAGAATAAATTTAACATATTTATATGTAACGTTTTTAGCTATAGTTTCAACCTTCAGTAATAAAATTTCTACAATAATAATAAACTAATAAGAGAAATAAAAGAAATTTGTTAATTTACACATTGGAGACATATATAACGAATATTGGAAGACGAAAAGTTTTATTACTGAAGGTTGAAACATTATAGATAAATGTATTATGTTTGTCTATTGCATTTCGTAAATCACCTTCAAACTATAACAAACGTCATTTTTCTATTTTATTTATTCAAGGTCTGGCATTCCTGATGCGCTTTGGTTAATGGCATAAAGTATTATTTTGGAACTGTTACAATTAGTTATTGGGAAAATGAGTGGAATCACGATCGCCCCCTTCTTTTACATGATCAATATATGTAATAATTATATATATATATATATATATATACACGTATATATATATATATTGTAAACAGGTTGAGTATGATTATACTTTTACGCAAAACAATGTAGAAATGATATTGTGTAAAACCTACTACGAATATCTTCTAAATAATTTCAATTACAGCTCCATCTCGGATGTTATTTACAATGCGGAACATTCCACCCACTGATTAAGTTTTGTGATAATTGAGATTAAAATCAAAGAACTAAGTAACACATGTAACGTTTCTTCTTTGAACACTAGTTTGAAGCGCTCTTGCAATGCCAGAGATATATTTTTTTCCAGTCATATCTAATTTTTCATAGTAGAAAATTATGGAACAAGCATTGTAGAATATTTTTACAGTTTCTAGAGGAAAAGAAACGTATCTATTTCATCTTAACGTTACGATATCCTCTTGTTTTAATACGCAAATTATTTTTATATATTTTTATTATGAACAAATTATTTTCCTATGTAATAAAACAGAAGAATTAAATTGAAAGTTATATACAATTATGTTAAATATATTGTAACTAATGTTTTATATAAATATAGAATTATTTTATGCATAGATTAATTAAGGTCTTAAATTATTTTTTATAATAATTTGTTTTTTATTAGTAATAAATAATGTATCGATGTAAACTTTTTGTATCATTTAATAATTACATACATTGTACAGATATTTTCTTAAAAGAATATATTAAAAATTTAATAATTCCAATATGAAGTTGTAGTGTTAAAAATACACTTTTTATATACTTAAAAAAAAAATAAAAAGTTAATGTAATTTGTATTCTAATTATATATTAAGATATTTCTGAAAACTGAAATAAGTATTTAGTCAATTTACAATCAAAAATAAATAAAAATTTTTAAGAGATTTTTATACATAATTTTAGTTTTTAATTAACACAATTTAATAATGATTGCTTTTTGTAGTTTTACATTTTACATGTAGTAGGAAACTATTTAACTTTGTACAAAGAAGTCTTCATCACAAACATACTTATTATCTTAAAAAAACGAACTCCTAACATAAATGTTCACTCAAATTCCAAGGCGGCTAAAAACATCTGGTTTTTTTATAGCTGCTACTGTTGTAAATCTATCAAATGTTACTTGTTTAGCAGTACTTGCTTTAACTATTCCCAAACGCGCCTTAGCTGGTATAGAAGTTAGTCTTTCCGAGGCTGAAAAAAAACATTTGTAAAAATCTAAATGAAAATGGCACATAAAGTATTTAAAAAATTGAATAATGTACCTAATTTTCCTGATGTTACATTGGGTTTCATTATTTTCGCATTACTCGAAAATGTATTGTTGAAAGAAATCTTTTTGGTCGTTTTTACTATTTGTGAAATATTATGCGACATAATTTTTCTACTTGCTTCTTGATCAGCTCGCATTGTACCCACACTTTTTGGTACTACTTTATTTGTAGTAATAATCGACGTTCTTGTGCTAGGACTTTTAGTTTTCAATATTCCTGTATTATTTGATCCATTTTTAAGTATACCTATTTGAATGGTACTATCTTTCTTGGCATCTTTATCTCCTAACCGATTAAAGACGCTTGGTGATCTTTTAAAAACATCTTTTCCTAGTCCAGTAATGCTAAAGGTAGATGACGTTTCAGCTACATTTGTTGTACTAGTTACTGAACTGTCGCCCAGCCTATCGAATACAGTTCGCTTTTGTTCCGCTGACTTTTTAAGAATCTGTTGACTTCTAGTCGTTGATCCTTTTGGAAGTATTATAGTGTAACCTACTTTATCGTCTTTATAGTCAAGCGATTTTATCTTTTTAACTGTTCCATTCCATTCGTCTTCATTATTACTATCAGATTCATCTTCGTCTTCCAATTTTCTTTTAAGAACAGTATGTTTTTTTTTATTAGCAAGCTGTGTAATCGCTTCGCTCGTCATTGATATTGGTTTCTTGACAATAACAGCTTTCTTTACCGAATTTGCTGGCACTTTGACAATTTTTTTCGCTATTGTTGCATTAGATTTAACCTTCGAAGCTAATGTTTTAATAGGTGCCTTAGTAATTACTTTCTTAACGACTGGTTTTGGTGATCCAGAAGAATCTTCCGTATCAACAAGAAATCTTTCGCATGTTGTTTCTTCAACAACTTTTTTTGCGTACCTTAAAATAGCAATCATATCGCCCATCAAGGTTATTCCCATTTCTTTGAGACTAGGCTTATCTAAATCTGGCAACATGTCTGGCTTGATACGGTTATTAGAGAATACAACAGCATGTTTCGTGGCTACATCTTGAGGAAATCCTGCACTTTTAAAAAACTTCACCCAATATGCTATAAAAAAAAATAAAAAGACTGAAAAAAAGAATGTCGGTGACATAATACCAGGTGATTAAATAAAGAAAACTGTAACTACCTGATAACGATGCCATTTTACCGGTTAGGTTATTTTTATTATTTTACGCGGTGATACCTTGCAATTAAGTTTTTTCGACAAATATCAACTGTTTAAAGAAAAATTTACAATGCTATTTCACATATTGTACATAACTTATTGTTCCTTAGAAAGTTATACTTGAAAGAAGAAATATTTTCAAGAGCGAATACGTGATGCTGTTTTAAGTCCATCAATATTCAAAACTTCGCCTTTTATAATAGTATCACAGAATATACTTAAAAAAACAATAATAAATAGTTGTGTTTTATTGCTTGAAATTTCAGATCTATTCATATCCGTTCACTTCCATAAATCTATTTCTACATATACACAAACGTAAATAATAAGTGAAATTAAAATGATCAGATCGGATGAAAGTATAGTCACTAAGGTAGAATTATTGCGCTTAGCGACATCATTGGCAAACACGTGTACCAATGTACAGGGTGTCCCAAAAATGTTGTAACACCTTGAAATGCGCGTATCTGATTGGTCAGTGTTTTTCGTTAATATCTCTTCAACGAAGCCACAGACAATATTTTCGCTAAGGAAAAAGTTGTTTCAAATCACCTCCTGAACCACCTCTTTCAAGGTGTTACAACATTTTTGGAACTCTCTGTAGATTGGCCTATGGACAGGGCCGGTTTTAGCAGTATTGGAGCCTCGGGCAAGATTATCGTGGCGCCCCTTCAGAGGCTTAACATTTTTAAGAAAAGAAGACAAAGTAATAATATCAAACGATGAATCCTATAGCTAGATTGTAAAGATTGTTAAACTACAATATATAGATTAGCTTTACTAATCTACACCGGACTGCGACGCCCCAAAAAATCTGGCGCCCCGGGCGGTTGCCCTCCCCCCCCCGTCCTTAACGCCGGCCCTGCCTATGACTATAGGTGGTACTGATTATAAATGTATGTTTCCTAAATAAATGAAAATATTTTACATTGGTTGCTACGAAAATGAACCATTTGCTATCTTGAATAAAGAATAACGATACGTTTTAAATGAATTGTAAAAAAAGAAAATCAGAATTTTGACTGCCGTGGTTCTGTGGTTGTCGACGTTCTAGGTAGAAAATGTTCATGCTCGAATGTCCGTGAAGTCTCAGAGGAATGGAGTTACTCTCGTTGTTTTGGGAATTTCGCGCGGATTACCGTACTATTTTTATCGTGTGTGGGTGAATCAGGTGCTTAGTCGCGTTCGATACTATTTTCGATATCTTCGTGTTCTTCGAGCTGCCTGTTGGGCGGGATATCACGCGCTAAAAAGAAGAACGGAGGTTAGTTTCGGCAGATGTGCTTGGGTATGTAGTAATCCATACAATTGAACATTAAGTCGTTCGAAAATAATTAGGAAAGGTTAACGAAAGTTTAAAGTCTGTCTCGCTAGAGTACAGAAAAGTCACGAAAGATTTTTGTTCGTCACAATAAAAGGGTGTTTCGTCCATTTAAGCCAGAATCGCAATATTCCAAGCGTTCTTCGGCGACATAGATCGGAGCTCGTTCTTAGTGCCATTCGGACAAACACAATTCATCGGCAATAAATAGATATGTAACGGAAAAGACAGTACGCGGCTTTAGTTTGATCTTCGTGTAGTAATTGTCGCGTGAGGAACCCTCGAAATCTTAAGTTCTACCAGATATTTTAAATTGTGCCCCGCGATTTCATTCGACTGGAATACTATTTGTTTTATGTCGTTCGCGTTCGACTGACTGTTCAACCTGGTTCAACCGGGTGTTCCTTCGTGAATCAGTAGGTGACTGTCTTTTGTTTTCCGTACTCCGATGTTTCTATCATCAATATTTCTCATTCCGAGTACAACGATGCCATAACTTTTGAGATTTCAAATTGAAAACGTATTTTTATCAAAATAAAACATAACCTACGTTACTCAGCGATAGTGTAGCTTTCTGTTACTGACAATTTTTTTAAAATCGGTTCAGTAAAGGAGATTAGTCGGAACAAACAGGCAGACACTTCAATTTGATTTATGTAAGAAGATTTGTTCGAGTTATTTATTTCAAATACAGTTTAGTAGTTTGCGCAAGCAGCTTTGAGTTTATGACGTGTTCACGTGTTGTTTAACATCGTAGGTAAAGATAACCCTTTTATTAACCCTTTATAACCCTAATTATATCTTTGGAAGAATGATGTAATGTATTAGAGCCGTGATTAGAATTTTTGAAGTCTGCGTGCTAACATTTATAATACCTTCTTAAGGGGTAGTTAATCCTTCTCTCCAAGTTTAATATGATATTAGAAGAAGAAAAAACTTCTGAATCAGTATTCATTAGATCAACATATACAGAGTGTCCAAAAAATGTTGGAGGTCCTTGAAAGGGGTGGTTCGGGAGGTGATTTGAAACAACTTTTTCCTTAGCGAAAATGTTGTCCGAGGTTTCGTTGAGGAGATATTAACAGAAAAGCCCGACCAATCAGAGTGCGCGTATGCCGGTGGAGCGGTCGCGGTAGCGTGGGCTACGTGCTAAGCGGCCGCTCTCGTTCGCTATCGCGGCCGCTCTCCACCGGCGTACTCGCGCTCTGATTGGTCGGGCTTTTCTGTTAATATCTCCTCAACGAAATCTCGGACAACATTTTCACTAAGGAAAATGTTGTTTCAAATCACCTCTCGAACCACCCCTTTCAAGGTGTTACAACATTTTTCGGACACCCTCTATATACGACGAAAACACGTGCGTAGTTTAAACGGATAATCAGTAATCAATCGATGTTACGACTGTTTTATGTTTCCTGTAAGGTCCGGACACCTAGAAATTCGCGTTACGCACTGTTAGTCGCTGGGATGCAATTATTGATAAACGCTAAATTCGAAAGTAAATTTTAATGAACACAATCTTCCAATGTACGAGAAATTGTAACCAATAGTTGTCGTAAATAGATACTTTATTGCCTCGCTGCTAACGGTTTAGGACCACGCTTGATACATTCTGATGACAGGATTAAATCGGACTTTGCGAATGGACATATTGAGTATACGAGTTCGGAGACACATGAGGTTATGGAGGGTTAATCGTAGGCGAATTGAGTTTCCGATTCGCGGCACCCTGGTCCTATACATATTCGGAATACTTGACCGAATCGTGAGCAGTTCGCGGGGGTTGGACACGGAAGCTGTTGCATGGGAACGAGATCTTTTGGAGGGTGACTGGGCGGTCGGGTGAGCGGTGCGGGCAGAACACGAGATAGAGAGAGAGAGAGAGAGAGTGAGAGTGGGTGAGGGAGGGAGGGGCGTGGGAGGGGAGGCTCGTGCGCCGGCGAGCAAATCGTGTGTCAGACTCGTGGCAGAGGGGTCAGCGCGAGAGAAAGAACGACACGAACCGAACGTTTTCTGGGCTTAGCGGGTACGTTTTCACATTACAAAACGTACACCTCTTTTCTTCACTTCCCGCAACACACCTAATTTTTCGTTCTTCTCTTCTCGGTTCCTTCATTTTTTTCACGGTCTCCCTTTTCCTCTTTCTTTCGCACTCGTGAATTATTGTTTCCTTATCGACGGACACATTAGATATATATCGTTATGTTTCTCGTCGCGGGGCGAGTGTAGGGAAAACATTGCTTACCGCGATCGAGATCGCCGTTCTACTGAGAGTATAAGCTGTGTGTCTGGTACACGAGTGACACGGAAATCGTTTTGCGTTTAAAGGAACGTAAGAAATCCGTGGAAGGATGAACGACATGGAAGCTTACGGGGACGGATACATGGAACCGGAGGAAGAATGGGAGAGGGATGGTCTTTTGGACCCAGCTTGGGAAAAACAGCAGAAAAAGGTGAGTCTAATTTCGTCGTTCTCTTTTGTTTTCGTATATCTCTACGTTTTTAGTAGTCGATAATGTCATTTCAAGCATTCTGCTCGTCTTTATCGTAGATCTTTCATTCGTGTAGTATTCTGATCCTTTTCAGTAATCTGAAAATATTTACCTAATCAGACAGAATATTGTACAATAAAGAATAATTACAATATTAACTTTCACGTTCAGTAATTACGTATCTGTTTTCTAATTTGGTACATATTTGATTATAAAACAATTTTCCTAATATTGTTGTAACACTCCTCGAGATATTTATTGTTTATTATATTAAAACTCATAGTCGAAACATTCGTAATGAAAATTAATAGATTGCTTGAAATAACCTTATGGGCTGAGTACATTTACACCAAGTAACCGTTCAAACTGTTATTTTTACGCGTTGTCTAAGTTTTCGTCTTTCCGAGTGAGAACTTTCGATTCGATTATCGCACCGTTGCAATGTTACGTTCTCGATCGAACTGCACTTCGCCGCTCCAATTTGCGATACGCGGCTTTTGATAACCGCAATTTTTTGCTCGGGGTTCCTTGAAATACTTTCGAGTCGTTTTCATCGCGAAGTGTATCTATCGATTCGATTTTTCGAGCGCTATACATAACCTCACCGTGAACGATGCAATTTTCGAATTATTTAAAAGATGAACATTTCACTGCGACATTCGGTTTTTAATAGTCTTTCGCATAATGGCTGTGATTGAAATTCTTGAGCTAGCAACATATGTTTACAGCCGGATAATTAATACTTCAACAGCTATTCAACGCTAAAGTTTTAGGGGGCTGGATATCTTCGGTAATAGAAGCACGATTTACAGATGACTCAGTGGCACAGTTGGTAGAGAGAGGCGCGTGCTTGCCAAACTGCAGTTCTTTTTGTGTACGAGTATCGTAGATCGTTCGGACGTTTAATTTGTTTATTTAATATATCTTACTATCTGTACTATCTGTACTTACTAAAATTGTACTGAATGATTTTAAAAAGATACGAATTATTTTTTATTAACAAATATGAGTTATATTTCCAAAGGGCGAACTACGTTTAATTAATAAGTATAAAGTATTTTTACGAACTGTGAATTACATTTAATTGATCTTTTCGTTGTAAGTCGTACATAAATTTGGATATTTATTGCAGAAGACTCATTATGCTATTAGATTACAGTAACAGGATCGATAGAATATGGGTAATTATACAGAAAAGGGTGCTCAACACCGATTTCGATGATTTTGAAATATGTTCAAATTCATTATTCCGAACAACTTTTTCCTATACGTGCTACCACCGGAGACGCTTAGTTTTCGAGATATTAATACAAAAACTTGTGTTAATGTCACATTGAATTCTATCTACGTGGACGTTCGTGGTCGTGTATCAGACCGCTGTTTTTCTGCTGTTCTATTTTTTGACTATCAAATACCACTGATTAATGTCTATTTTGATAAAAAAGAGGGGTCTACGCGCGTTGCAGTGCACTACGCAGGTGTGTATACATGGTTACATGGTTACTTTGAGGGATGTACATTGCTCCTGGGGGTCGAGGGGGCGCAGACCCCCAGTAAACGTATATATTGGGTTGTCCGGAAAGTTCATGTCGATTTTTGGTAGGTGGTACAGGTCTGAATATATTGAAGTGGTTGAAAACAAATAACATGCATACATCCCTTAAAAGGTGGAAAGGTTGTGGAACAAAAAGGCACCTATGCAATTCAATAAATTTATATTAAAATTCAAATGTGTTTTTGAATGTTTCTTAGAAATTGGAACGAACTTTCTGGAATACCTAAAATACTTTCGAAACGTCTCAAAGATATTTTATTTGAAAGCACACGTCTCGTACACATCCCTCGGAGTGACTGTGTGTCCACACCTGAGTGGTGCGCTGCAACATGCGTAATTGGCGACTTCGTCCCCAAACCCCTGATCTTGACCAAGCCCCCGGATCCTCATTTTTTATCAAAATATAATTGATTGTCGATGTTTTGTCACAAAGTGGGCGAGAGAGAGGTTTACCAAATAATTATTTTTTAATTACATACCGTATATTATTCTATCGAAACTTTTTATGTACATCTCGAAAATTAAGCGTCTTCGACGGTAATATACAGGGTGTCCTAAAAATATTGTAACACCTTGAAAGGGGTGGTTCGAGAGGTGATTTGAAACAACTTTTTCCTTAGCGAAAATGTTGTCCGAGGTTTCGTTAAGGAGATATTAAGCGAAAACACTGACCAATCAGAGCGCGCGTATATCGTTGGAGCGGCCGCGGTAGCGAACGTTATGCGCTAAGCGGCCGCTCTCGTACGCTATCGGGGGCGCTGTGCCGGCATGCTCGCGTTTTAATTGGTCGGGGTTTTCTGTTAATATCTCTTTAGCGAAGCCTCGGACAATATTTTCGCTAAGGAAAAAGTTGTTTCCAATCACCTCCCGAACCACCCTTTTCCAGGTGTTACAACATTTTTGGGATATCCTCTATATAGGAAACACTTGTTCAGAATAATAAATTTGATAACATATTTCAAGACCATCGAAATCGGCGTTGAACACCTTTTCCTGTATAATTACCAAATATAAGTTTTATTTTACAGTAAATTTTTTGTTTAAAATTTTGGTGTAGACATTAATGTGTAATAAATAGAATTGCAACAAACAAATTAAATGTTCCGAACGGCATTTGAAGGCTTGCAGAAAAAGAACAGTTATTTGGCAATTACATACTGCGGATTCTTTTGGGATAATAAAATTTTACTTATATGACCAAACGTATCGAATACCTTGCAATTTTAACGTTACATAAATGTTAATCTATCAACTATCGCCCCATAAAACCATATATCCATACATTCAGAATTTCAAGCATTGTCGCTATGTAAAAGATAATTAACGCTTTGTCTATCGGGCTATTTAGAAGCAGACTTTAATTAAAAAAAGAATTTTTACTGTAGTATATGCCAATATAGGCTGACAATAATTCCTCCCTACCTGTTACTAGGTACATTGAAAGCCAAGTTTGTTACCGAACACTGAACATTGTTCGTAGACAACTATCAGCACAGTAAATAAATTCGAATAACTAAATACTGCAATTAAAAAGCCTATAAATAGGCTTCCGGTAAATAAAGTGTTAAGAAGCGAGCGTCACACTAAAGAGTGTCAACTTTGTCAGGTGCAAAACGAGTAACGAAACTTATACATATAGACTGTTCTGTGATGCGTGTTTTGAAAATAGATATTCTCGAAAAACAAAGACTCGTACAACAAAATGTTACGGTACATTTATGATTCATTTTCTCGTGTGGATCGACTATGTCACCTATTATGAAAGACCCTGTTGTATGTTTATCTGCGCGATAGTGAAAGCACGATCGCCGTTCCAATCTGTTTTTCTAGACGATATTACATAGTCGAACCTTGTTTAATTTCACTTGACAGTTACACTGACCTCCGCGCTGGATTTCCCACTAAACGTCTCGTGTATGATTAAAAAGATTTTATCGCATTGTACTCGAGCCGTGTAAAGAATTTTTAATCGCAACAAGAAATTCTATGTTGTTGTTATACTTAGTATTCGTTTAATTTCTAAAGTAGTATTTGTTATAGTTAATTATTATTTACTTTATTATTATATGGCCCCTTTCAGGTATACAGAATTATACATATATCAATATAAAGTTAGGAATTATATACAGATACATAATATCTAGGTGTCATCTTATGAAAAAATGTTTAGGAAACATTTATTTGTTATTTACAATGATTGTTGCAAATCTATTAGAAGAAAATAACCTGATGTTCAAAATAAATATTAAAAAACAGTTTTTATATATGCCTGGAGACGGTTCAGCGCACATGGGAAACGTGGTGTTGGCAAATTTAAAAAATTCTTATTTTAAAATTTCACATACATCAAACAATAATTAATAAAAAAAAAATAAAGCACATTCCGCTGCTTTGATTTATACATTTTTTTATTTTGAGATTCGCGAGATTATTTTACTCTACTGAACCTGTAACAATTGCTCTAGTCTCGAATAACAAGGAAATCTTATTTTCTAAATGTAATAGAATAGGAGCATTAAGACATTGTAAATCTTTTGGGATTATACGTTGATACTATACAATAATTAATACTATCTAAATAAATATATAAAAGGTGAAACATCGTGAATAGTAAACGGTAAAATTATTGCTTAAATTTATCAAGAAACAATTTTTTATTAATTTTATTACTGATATGAAAGAACAGTAGAAAGACGTACTGTTGCGTGCAAAAGTTTCCGGATAGATAAATTGTTCACTTTATATTCCGAAAGCATTATTCGAACTTTGTAAATACGTAGTTCCGAATTAATAAATAGAGTTTATTTTTCGCATTGTTTTCTTTCATTTAGCATACCTTCGTATTCGATATTAGTTAAAATTATTGTAGATACCGCTTTTGGAATATAAAGTGAAAAACCCGTGTACCCGGAATCTTTTGCGCGCGACTGCATATTATTTTATTTATTAATTAAGTAGCAACAGATGTTCGATTTATATTGGACGGTTATGGTACAATTCGCGCTGGGTTAATTTCGCGGGAAAGAATTGGTCGGGTAAGATACAAGGAGGGTAGATTAATGCGGTGTCAATTGACAAAGTAGAGCAGCTTCAAGTACGCGTTAAGAACGTTTTCTTCATTTTTGGCAGGGGCTCAAGGCTCTCTCAGGTCCGAGTTGGTTTACGTGTGTCGGCGTTCGGGAGCCCTTCGGATTGTATTTTCAGACTTTATGACAAAAATAATCGAGCACTGAGTCATTCCAGAGTAACGCGACTCCGTCGATGCTCTGTCGGAGCCTCAGGCAATTGATTACGACGCAAGGAAAAATCTTTTCGTTTTTATCGTTTGCGTGTGTACTTCGAAGACACCTTAGGGCAGTGCTTATCGAATTAGAAATTACGACCTTTAAGGCAGGAAACGATATTA